GAAGCGCTCCTCGCCGCCCTCGAACCATTCCACGTGCTCGTCCTTCAAGCTGAGATGCGCCTTGCTATTGTCCAGCACCAGTCGCTGCTTTTGGTGTTCATAGTCCGAGATCATGCGCCGAAACTTCTCCGGATGCTGTTCGATGAAGTCATAAAAGATATCCGCCACCTTCAGCAGAGGCGATTGCTGGCGCATTTTCTCAAATTCAAAATCAGAATCTGTCGGGTATGATCAAATTCGTAAAGTAAATCGCTCTGATAGGCTCTCTGGCTCTCACCTGTTGTTATGACTGCATCGGGGCCAGCCACAATGAACAGCGTCTGGGCGGGCAGACTGTTTAAATACTCATCATCGGACACCTCAAAGCCATCAGAGGCCAAATAGAGATGGAGGTCTTGCAGCTAAACATGTGAATGAAATAAAATTGAATGAATTGCCCTTGACATGGAGCTACAACAGGCTAGTCCAGGGCCACGGCCAAAATGTCTCGACCAATTTGGAGCGAGGTTCACTGGCCTTCAAGGAATTGTTTTGTGGCTAGGACAAGGACACCACTGCTACAGCAAAAGCAACAGGTTGCCTGCAAGGCTGCCTCTACTCCAACATTTTCCAGACATGCGCACTGTGGGTGGCATTGACAGAGAGGCAAACGGAAAGCGGAAGCCACTGCCAGGGACATTGGCCTTGAATCTGCCAGGGCCAAGAACTTTCTGCCCCTGCGTGGGTGCGTGGGAACTTTAGTGAATGGGTAGAAACTCAAAACATTTTCACTGTAGTTTTCACCATTTTGTTTTGGCAACACTCACCGGAAACTTGTTGTTGGCTTTGGTTAGCAGCACTTCCAATGAATTGGCTCCAATACCATATTTCCTTGTTCGCTCGTTATCAGTAATCTTGTAGCCTCGCATTGGAGAAGTTGGGATTGCTTTGGACGAGTTGGAGCCCTGCTCAGTGGCACTTTGTTTGTTGCTGCTGCTCTTGGCGCTGGTGCTACTGCGTGTTGACGGCGCCATAATTGTATCTCTAATGTAGTTTAGCATCTTGCAAGCTCATGGAGTGGAAAAACTTGCAGCAAGCTGCCTTTTAAGCGGATTTGTAAGTTTTGTTTGTGTATATTTTAAGCGTAGCAGAGTGACCGCGAAATTATCGATAAAATATACCGTCGGGGCCTCGAAAATACACCGAAATATTATTTTTCATTTTCAAAATATACCTTGAAATATACCGTGGATACTTATTTCATGGCTTTCAATACAATCAATACAATAACTACACTATTTGGTTAGTAGTAGGGCTCCGAAGCAGGAGCTATTACGTTCATTCGGCGCTTCTGACTTTGCCAGCTAAACATTTTTCCTCGACAAACGAATCAACCTTTAAACGAAAGCCCGCAAAGATTGTATTGAAAGCCATGAAATAAGTATCCATCCAATTTTGCTCTTGCATATACAATTTTTTGAGTCTGGTAGAGCCTCCCCAGTCTTGTCTATAATCTTGTTTGAATCTGTTTGAAATCATCTTAAAAATGTGTTACCTTCTCAAATATACCGTAATATACCGAACAATTGTGGAAATATACCTATATATACCGATATACAGTAAATATACCGTGTACCCAAGTGTACAAAAGTATAAAATATACGTAAACGCAAAGGGTAGTTTGGAATATTTGATCGATAATTCCGCGGTCACACTGGAACCAGAAAACAGCTGTTTCAGCCAATAGTTTTTTTTTGTTACAATTTATTGAGGAAAAACTAGAATTGTGGAAAATGCACTGGGTAGCGGCTGCAGCGTAACCGGCATCCACCCCCTCTATCCACCCTAGCGATGAATCTGCGGCCGCGCTGCCGAAAATGGTTGCCGCTGGCAACGCAGCAGCTCCGTCTCCGCAACTTGACGCGTATCCAGGGATTCAACATAGTGTGCCGCCAATGGAGTGGACTGGCGCCGGAGACGGAAGTGGAAGCCGAGGCGGAGACAGAGGATGTACTTCTCTACTATACGCTGCACACAGATAAGGCTAGTGAGGCACTCTACACGAGCGAGAAGCTGCCGCAGCGCCATCAGCAGCAAAAGTGGGCGGAGATCGGGGCGGACGGCGATGCCTGGCGGAAATCTAATGCGCAGTGTGTGTGCGTCAAGGTGTGGAAGCACTGGCCGGCAGCCAAGCGAGCTGCTGGTCAACCAAGAGAGACTGACGACAGGACGAAGGACATGTGCGGGTAAGAAAGTTTCTGTTCAAGGCTATCGGCCACATCCGTAACGCTTTCGTCTTCCAGGGAGCATGGCAGACGCCCCGAACTGCTGTTAAGCTGGGGCGTATATTTCTCCGGCCTTATTTCCTTGGCTCCGCTAACGATTGCACAGTGCGGCCAGAACTGTTTGATATTCCAATTGAATGGCGAGCAGTTTGTGTCCCCATCGATGATCAGCGAGCAGGGTCTGCATGCGCAGCTGCATCTGCACTATCAGAACTACGGGGAGGAGGAGAAGGAGGAGCAGCCGAAGGACCAGCTCGGCATCAACTCGCCCAACACCAGTCGCAGCGCAAGCCCCGTCCTAAAGATGAGCACGATGCGGTACGCCCAACTGAAGTGCCAACAGCAGGAGATTCGCCGCAGCTACAACCTGGACAAGCTGCTCCTGCTGCAGCGCCTGCAGCGACTCCAGCAGCAGAAGCTGCGCCAGATGACTGAGATTAGCAAGGAGATCGCTCGCCTGAGCGTTCACTGCGTGACCAGGAACGAGCTGCGGCTCAAGCCTCGCACCACATCCCTGTCCGGAGACCTCTCACATCACATTCACCATTCCATGGGGCGTACCCTCAGCGTTCTGCTGGCCGAGCAGCAGATGATTGCCCCCCTGGCGCTGTACAATGCCCAGCAGCTGACCAAGCAGATAGAGGGACTGCGCTGCAAGCAGCGGCTGCTGCAAGCAGAGCGGGAAACTTTCCAGCAGCGCAACGACAACGCCAAGCAACGTCTGGCGGCCCTCGGGGAGAAAAGGGAGGCCCTGCAGCAGCAGTTGCACAGCCAGCGGCATCACCTCGAACAAGAGCGCCTCGAGCTGCGAATGCTGCAGCCCCAGCATCTGGCCCAGCGGGATCAGCGCCGCCAAATTATGCGACAGATGGAGCGACGCATGTCGACCTTGGTGCTGGAACTGCAGGAAATCTACAACATCCAGCGCGTCGGCGGGGGTCAGCAGCTCAGCATTTGCGGCATTGCCTTTCCCCACATGGAGCAGTATACAAGTGATTCACGGCAGGCGGCCAATGCCCAGGTTCTCGAGAATGTCTCACCGCTGGCGGTGAGTGCGGCCCTCGGCTATGTGGCACATCTCGTGCAGATGCTGGCCATTATCTTGGACCGGCCACTGCGGAACCGCATCCTCTACGAGCCCTCCAAGACGAGGATTGTGGACGAGATTAAGGAACTCACCTACACCACAAGAGAGTAAGTGGAGGCACACTGGAAAACCATTGCCGTTCTGAAATGCTTATCCCTCTTTCGCTCAGGTTCCCCCTGTATACGCGGTCCATTCTCCCGTCGCAACAGACCAAATATGCCATTTACCTGCTGCGCCAGAACGTCTCCCAGCTGTGCTTCGACATTGTCGGACACTGTGATCTGCGCAACACCTTCGCCAATCTCCTGGAGCTGTTCAGCACCTTGCGATACATCGAACGCACCCAGAGGGGCGACGAGACGGACAGTGGCAGGACGCGGCTGGTGAATGGTCTGACCACTCCGGCGAACTCGCAATTGTCCCAGTCCCATTCCTCGGTGGACATGAATCATGTGGCGCTGCCCACCACCGCGAATGCGGCCAAAGATGCCCTGCTCCAGCAGCTGCTGCCCCCAGGCGTGAGTCAGGCTCTAGCCATCGAGGGTTATGCGTCAACGCAGCGGTATGACGAATGGAGATTTATTTGTCCTCTACGCTGTGTCCTCTAATCAAGATATCTTTGTAGCATTTGTCGTTCCGTGGGCTCCTACTCGGATGGGGAGGATGAGTTTCGACCCCGATTGGAGCATAACTATTCCAATTCGGACTCAAACATACCACTGCAAACGGAGCGCAGCTGAATACAAATATATCTGATGTACCCATCGAGTGTCCTTGCTCGTATATATCCCGTATGTATATCCCTTAACCCTACCCTAGCCTAGCGATTAAAACCCCCCTCCCCACAAAAGAACAAAGCAATCTGCGCCAGCTGTGTCCCAAAGTTGGGCAATGTATTAGCTGAAACACATTTGTTCATATTTAAATTGTATAGTTCGGGTGTGTGATGGCTTTGAGACCGCGTCTACTGTGTGCATATTATTTTTAGTGGTTTAAGATCTCTATGTAAATGGCCGTTTATTGTTTATTTGCTAATCTAAGCTATAAATAAACATTAAACATTTTATATAAACTTGCTGATGAGTGCAGCACAATTTTTGGGTGACATAATTTGAATTTACCGCCCAGGCAGTGCTGTGCAATGTTAGCATATTTAAAATACTCAGTGCTGCGTAAATTCTATTGTGTTAACAGTGATGTGCGCTGTTGTGTTAACTACAAATTATTTCGCAGACCTTTCCTGTTTCAGCCAGTTCTTTTTTAAATCCTAAAAAAGAAGGGCCCTAAAATGAATTAATTTTGTGAAAAATGGATGCATCTATCGGAGAAAATCAATTGTTAAGTACTAAGAGTCCCAGTTAGCTAGTAATAGTAAGCCAAATATCAAAATCGAGGGAATATGGATTCTGTTTACAGGCAGAACGATTAACACGTTGTCGGCCCCCCCCGATAAACAAAATTCACGAAACACGAAATTTGAAGAATAAATAGGAGAATAAAGGTTGGTCTACAGGAAATAGTTATACTCAGAACTAATTTCAGCGGTTAAACTCACATTGCCCAGCTGTACAAAAAGTGGGAGCAAAAGTGGGTTAAGTTTGTAGCTTATCGATAAATCCGCTAAAATCAGCTGCTGGAAACTTGCGCCCCCGGGAAAACTAAAGAAAACGTGTCAAAAAACAACAGGAAAATGTGCAATTCTTCTATTGAAAGATTAACCACCCACGCGTAAAGCAAATGTTGATGAAATGTGAATAAGCGGATGAAAAGTTTCTATTGCCGTGTGCGTGTGGGAGCACTCGCGGTCGTGTGTGTCTATGTATGTGCCAATGGCCTTTGGATTTTACAAGTATTTGTATTAACAAAAACCATAAAGTCGGGTTCGATTGCTCAGTATCACTGGGGTTTATAGTGACGAATGGTAGCCGGCAACCGTTTCTGATGATAAGAGGTGTCTTAATCGTAATTTGTCGCGGGCAACGCCGCCACGAAATAAAGGTGCTTTGTTGATAGACGGGATTTACGGTTATACGACAACACACACTCCCACATGTTTACCGTTCAAACAAATCGAGAGAGGCGGCAGGCTGATAGCTGATAAGGAGCAGGGCAGACGACCCACCAGCACGTGAATAGTGTCGTGAGGTAGGGGGCTCTCAGTGCAAACGTGGCAGAGAAAAAAAAGAGAGAGAAGCATCGAAAATACATATACGCAAATGCAATGCATTTGAATTAGGTTAGAGGAAAAAAATATTACAATTCAACGAATTGAGGCAGGCGCGCACCGAAACAACAAAAATCACCTGTGTAAACTCTCTTTCGCTCTCTTAACATGGCCGATAACAATGTGCCGCTGCGAGACTTTGACGAAGAGAGCGAAACCGACTCTGAGACAGAATTGCTCATACGCAGAGACGTACGGACCGTGAGTGTCGCTGCCGTTGGCAGCAGCAGCAAGAGCAACAACAACAGCAGGGGCAGACACCGCAAAAGCTCAACTGGTTATAGCGGTGTCGCCGACGTTGGCGTCAAAAGCAGCAGCAGCAGCGGCGGCGGCGGCAGCGGAGGCAGCTTTCTGGGGAATCTCTTTGGGCACAGTCTTGGCTCTGCCGCCGGACAAATACGTTATAGAAATGAGCGAAGTCGCGAGCGCGCAAAATACTCGAACAGCAGCAGCAGCAGCAGCGTTTCGAAACTGGCGCAATTAACGCACACGTCAGCGGGTGGCAGCGGTGCGGGCTCACACGGTATTGGTGCGACTGTTGCAGGCTCCGCTGCTTCCGTCCCAAGCGGGGGTGCAGCCACAGGTGTGGGCGACAGTGCGGGAGTCGCAAGCGATCTTGGCAACGGTACACACAGCACCGTCATCGATCCGGAGAACGGCTCGTCCACCGTCTTCTACCAGAACAACCGCCGAAGGAGCAAGGGCCGCAGCATCGGGAGCATTTTCAAGCTGTGCCTCTGCAGGTGAGTGAATTATTCAGAAGCAACGTTGCGAATGCGCAATATTTCCAGCGAGTGTGACAATAAAAAAAAACTAAAACAGATGTTTTCAAAAGAAACGTACATGTGTGTGCATGTGCCCCCCACATGTGTTTTTATAAGTGGAAAGCCTCAGCGACAGTCCGTTAAGACAGTCAAATGACCCCCCCAAGCGGATACCAAACGGGCCAGGAAGTACATAAATGCTGTGTTATAGTGCCTACTGTTTCCGCCATAGAAAAGTGTCCTTTACTGAGGGTCGTGGCCCTTGTCCGACCAGGGTCAGCCGAATCTTCGACCGTTGACCTTCCTTCTTAACTTATTTCAATCATTTTCCTGTGCCAAATTATTCCCTTCTAGACAACTTGTTGTCATAACAACAGTGAAATCTCTATGGGTGTACCCATAAACAGGGACTCAATAATTGTCTTTCCACATGTGATTCCCTGTATTTGGATTTCGAAATTGTTGCGCCATAAGAACAAGCAGCTTCTTCTGTTGCAATGCGATTTTCTTATGCTTGAAAGCTTTTACGAAAAACATTTCCAAGAAATCGTTTTGCTCTGCTCTCTCTCTCTGTGAATTCTGAAATGTGAGTCGCAATGTGCCAGATATTGTAGCTATATACTATACATATATTTGTGTGTATGTGTGGCCGATCCCGAGATATATTTTTAATTTACCTAATTAGAAAGGAAAACACTAGAGAACAGGGGAAACATGGTAAAGGCAGGGCACGGGCACGGGCACACACTTGTAAGTGGCTGGGGGAAAATAAATTAAAAACATTTCGAACTGCAAATCGATAAACGTGACAGACGGATCCCCGGTACGTAGACCGTTCCAGCTTTCTGTTGTGTGGAAAGAAATATAAACCAAAACAAGTCTATAAATAGTGTCCGAGCGACGACAGTCGGGTGACAGGCAGAAAACAAAAGGAAACGCTCTCGTTGGACGCCAATTGTTGCAAGTCCCAACCAAACACGACCCGATTCCCTCCCTCGAATCTAATCGATGTTTTCCGTGCCGTGCAATTCGTTAACTTGCAAACAGCTCGAGAAATCACATCAAATAAAAACTCCCAAAAACAAAACCAGTTCCCATCATCACCATGGGCTCAGCTCTCGTTTAAAAACAATACACCAAATGTTGCTTTCAAGGTTTCTAAATTATACAAACGAGTTCCGCGGAAGAAGAAGTCGCTTAGAGGTGTTTTTTTGCCCCCTCTTTTTTCGTTTTAGTCGGTCGATTCTTTTTGTGTCGAAAAATTGAAAGTTTTGCTCCCTCCTTGCGGCGGCTAATCAGAAGCAGGTCATTCTTTTGGGCACAAAAAAAAACAGAGCACAGAAATCCGCATTGCGTCGAGAGACAGCTAGCAGAAATGTTGAGAGTGTGTGAATTTTGAAAAAGTTACTCAAAGTTGTAAGAACACTTGTAAATATCTTTCCTAGAAATTCTCCCAGGTGGAGTGCCGTGTCAGTCACAATAAACATTTACCCACAATGTTTTATTGCAACAAATAAAGCGACGAGAGACAGATAATGTATCAGCAATATTTAAAAAACGAAAGTGAAATTGTCTCTTTCTTTGTACTCAAGTGAGCAGTAAAATGTGTAATTCTCTTTTATTATTGAACCTACGAATGGGCTCAATGTCATAGCTTCTTATTGTTTATTTAACCATTCAACAAGCCTCTTCTTCGATACCACTGACCATGAGGAGAGCTTGAAACCCTCGAACTGACTTTAGCCTTATATTCAACTTGATTCTCTTAAATTTTTCGACACCCATTTGGTGGAAGGTTTTGTTGCTCTGCGGCTTGACTGTTTGTTGCCTGACTTTTGTCTAGGTCTAACTTTTGGTTGGGGCTTCGCTTGAATTTCACCGCTCAACTCGACTGGGCTCGACTCCGATTGCCGTTTCGGTTATATGAGGCTCAAAGATTTCGACAGCCCGATTAGAATTGCAAAGTGAGGAGGCGCCATGCGGCACATTCGTAATTGTTGTTGTGGCACAACTGTTGTGGAACCAACAGAGCGTTTATTTCCCTCATTTTCCTATTCAACCCTCCCACACACACTACATATTTACAGGTATACATATTTGTTTCATACCCAACAGATGTGGAAATAAATTCCATTAGTGACGAAAATTCGGCAGCCGGTGATAAGGCTTTTCCACATTTATGCTCGGATTATTGTACTCTATAATGTCTACGTAATGCATTCAAAAAACAATAACTGAACCCCGAAATACGTAAATCCATAATATGTAGTTTCTCTGTTCCAAAAGAGTTGGTAAGAAACCAACGACAGATAATAATAATTAAATATTTTATTTGAATTTTCCGGATGAAATTTTTGGTCTGTTCCCAGCCCTTCCTTGATACTAGAGTTCTAAGCCGAAGGAAAAAATCTTGAACATGATATTTCTTCTCCGGATTGAACTGATTGGCTTAGTTGACTAAACATTGGAATCATTTCTAATATATTTATTAACTCTATACATTCTTCATTTGAAATGCCAGGATATTTGCATTTATTTAAGCTATAGAAAGAGCACGCCCACTCACGGTGCTAATTGAAATTGGCATTAAATATGACCATTTCCAAGCGGCGACAGACTTTTCCCGTGCTCGTTTTACCGCCATTGCATGGAAATTAGTGAGCCGCCAGCCCCACATGCCCACATGCTCCACCCTCGCATACCGCTCCACGCAAAACTGTCAATGGCAACGCCTCTTGTTACTATTTTTAGTTGTTCTGTTGGCTGTTTGCAAACGCAAACAGGTGTGGGGGGTGGAAAAGGGAAAAGCGACAACGATTGACGCCCGCAACTGGCACTGCCACCGCCACAGTCCATCACTCTGCGCCCCCCACTGGGAATGTGGGTTAATAACCAAAAGCCAGAAGGCAAAGTGCGCAAAGGCAAAGTGCTCGTCATATCTGTAACACCTTTCGATTTTACTCTCTTTTGTGCCCTTTTAGAGGGCATTCTAACCAGAATGAAGAGCACATGATCCCAGTCGTGGCTGAAGTTCTTTTCACAATCTTAGACAACCCTTGGACAAAACGCTGAAATACAATATGTAGTGGGAACATTTCGATCTGCAGCTTTTGTCATTTTGAAATATATAGAAACTGAGTACAGGCCATTATAGCTGTTACGAATGCTAGGACTGGTTCCCACATTTATTTAAGTTTAAACAAATCTAGCTAAAATCGATTTAACTATTAAAATATTAACAATGAGTTAAAAAATGTAAATGACTTTTGGCCTAATCATCATTTGCGTAAATGTAAGCGAGATTGTGTAGTCATAGTCCTTCCAAGAGCCCCAATGAATGCCGTAAAGTTGCGTTTCAATTCTTTTACCATCTGCAAAATAATTTCCATTGAGGGAACTGCAACCAAATTCGTTTTAAATAAAAGCGTTGTCTTAATAAAATATGTATATGTAGGTACATACCTAAGTGAACAATTAAAATCGACCAACCACCTCCATGATTATCCGCGCAATTCCCTTTCTCATTAATGTCATTATCCCGGTCCAATGTGGAAAACTTCATGTTTAGATGCTTAGTTAGTGAATCTCCGGCTGTTCCTGAATACTCTCCCAACGATTTCAGTTCATAGTCCTCACTTTCACAGCCTACGTTGAAATTATCATAGCGAGCATGGCGGGTGGTTCCATTAACATCCATTAACGAAGTTGAATGTACATCTCATGAGGCTGGTTTTGGGTCATTAGATGGATTTTTTCCAGTCCCAGGAAAAACTCTCCCCGAATATATCCAAATCCATCTTTGTAGTCCGTCCAGTTTCGATGAAAGTCCACACTTCCGTCGATGCGCCTTTGAATCACCGCCCATCCAGAGGAAACGCAGGGAACTTGGAATGGGTCCTTTCCCTTGACCTTTATTTGGAAAATTCCATTTGGGGTGCCATTGGGACACGTTTCGGGAAGATTCTCCGCCATTTGATGAATTTTCATAAGCTCATCATTTTTCTAATCAAGCAGACATCATTTTAACCTGCTCTTTAAGGTCCGTAATTTGTTCGTCTTTTTCCTTGATTTGTTTGTCTTTTTCTTTGACTTCTTCGTCTTTAAAATTTAATTGATCTTCTTTATTTTTTAGTTGCATCCAACTGCTTAGTAATTGGCTCTGCAATGCGCTAATTTTGTCCTTCATTTCCATATTGGCATCGGCTGCCACTTTCAGCTCGGTTAAATGGTCAAGGAATGGCTTGACAACTGAGAAACAATGTCCATTGTACTGATCCTCTGATTCCTCCACCTTGCAAAAAAATCTAAAAGATTATCACCGCTAAGTAGTGGTTCTTCATGTTTCACTTGACACTCGCCTGAGTGTCGCTTCACAACTGAACTGATTTCAAATAGAAATCACATGTTAATGCATCAGTTTTGACTTTGCTTATGAGTGTATAATTAATACAAATAAAACAGCCCTCAATAGATTTGAACCGAGACTATATATTGGAAATATAAAGTGTTACATTTTGTCATTAATATGAAAGAAATAAGATTAAATAGAATTTTTTTTGCGTAACTGCCACTGCCACCCAGCAAACTCAGCCATTCATTCATCCCATAAGCGGCTGTCCCAGGTGCTGCATAAATTATACAAAAAATTTACTCAGTGGTTCAATTCTGTTCAGCGAATATTTTCGATGCTCTGTCTGCCTTGGCAATAAGTGTGGAAAATTGTCTAATTTGTCCATTGCAAGCGGGAAACCTATTTTAACTCATCTTTGACTACAGACTTTCGAAACGATTCTCACTCTATTTATTGCACTCCCATTGCCAGATTTTATTTATCTGTCAATGGAAGACTTTTTGCAAATGCAGATGCTCCGCAAACAAAATATATTTAATGGGAAATGGGGAATGGGGCATGCAATATCGGATTGAGCAATCCCATCATCCACTTGTGTCATAATCTGCTGATGTCTACGAATCGTTTTTAAATTTCCAGTTAATTACTCGTGCAGCGGAGTGCAGTGTACTTATTTTTAATGTCTACGAATGCCATTCTATTCAAAACAGAACGAGACGCGCTTCAGTTGAATCACATTGGCCGATCATACACAAATGTACTAGACACATACACTCTTATTTAACGACAGTGACACACTTTGTGCTTATGGCAACAAAAACTTTAAAGCTAAAAGCGCTGACATCTTTTGTCGGCTTGCCGTCCCTTTGAAGTGCCCTGTGAGTCATTTACTTACAGAGGGCAGATGTAAATACAGGGACAGGAGGTGGTTGAAGGTGGAAGGCAGAATGCAGAATGCAGAAGGTGAGCGAATTCCTGGCCCTTTCGTCTGTCCAAATTCTTTGTCTGTCGTCAGTCAATGAACTTTTGCTCTTCTTTTTTGATAGCGTTTTGGCAACTTTTCCTTATGAGATCATAACACGAAATCGCGCTAAGAATGTGTGTGTGTTATTGACAAAACCCTCACTCGCATGAATCCAAATATAATTCCAATTCTATGGTTATATAAATCTAGAGAGAAAACAAGTTTACACAGAGCAAAGTGAGCGAAAGAGAGAGAGAGACGTCGGATGATGGTTGGCACAATCACAATATGGCACAATATTGCGCTGATCTAAGCAACTGAAATGTAGACAACCAAAACACCGACAAAAGCTTATTTAATTAACGTCTCGGTGCGAACGAAAGCGATGTGAAGCTGCTCCGTCAGCAATCAGCGATGGTCATAAATTTCCATAACCCGTCCGATGGCATTTAAATAGAGCGCGCTCCACAGCGCTGCCAGTGCCAGGAATCTGGCATGTGGCAACTCTTCAGTAAATTTGTTTATTAATCGCTCTAAAATATCGACTATTTAATTATTCGATATAGGTATATTTCTGATGCTGTATATTTAATTTACATACATTTAAATACTGAAGACAAAGCTCCCGTGCTTCCAGAGAGGGGGGGATTTGAATGAAAAATTAGTAAAATATAAGGTCATAAGGTATACAATCTAATAAAAAGGAGTATTTATAATAAGCAAAATTGATTCTAAAATACGATTAAATTATTGTTTCATTGGTGAAAGTCATTGCAAGCTAGTAATATCAAATAGAACATCTAAATCGAGGAATCTGATTTAAGACTACGATATATTTTACGGTATATTTTGAAAATGAAAATGTATATTTCGGTATATTGCTGAGGGTCTGTCGGTATATTTGATCGATAAATCGACGGTCACACCACGACGAAAGTTTTCATGTTTTGTGCAAAAGAATTTTTTTCTAATTTATTTACTTTAAAGTGTTTTCGTGTATGCGTTATGTCCCTGGACAACAATCGTGTGCCCTGAGCCGCGCGTTAATTATGTGAACTCCAAGATTTAACGAAGTTTAAACTAATAAAAACTAAAAGCAGCTGCCGGAAAGAACAAAGACCTGCAGATAGCAAAGAGCATTAGATTGAATTGGGGAAACGCAAATAAATCCGCATCAAGCCCGATGGATGATGCCACATCGCAGACGTCGGCTGCAACGCCCATGACAAGGGAGAATATTCCGCTGCTAAATCGCCAGCGTAGTCGCTGGTATCTGTTCAGGTGAATCATCGTCATCCCCCCCCTGGCCCTCGGCATGCTGCTATTCACACTTCTTACAGTGCGGAGTGCAGGGAAGCGTGCTATCATATTGGCACGCATGAAGCTTTGGAGCAAAAAACAATTATAGTTAATCTGACGCCCTCGCTCGCACCCGACTTTCTCGCTCTCACTCCCACTCACACCCACATTTAATTAAGCACCGAATAAACAAGGCTGCAGCTGATATGCACTAATTATGGCAACACCGTTTCGTGTGCAGTATTCCGTTGCATTCTCGGTGACTCTGTATAAGTGGCCTGCTCGCTGCTAAGCCGATGCTGTTTCGTTTGGTCAGTACTTAATGGCTGTCGTGTGAGTTTTCACTTTTGTTTCTTTTCGAGTTCTTATTATTGATTTTTTTTCGTGTTCAAGGTCGCTTTTATTTGCATATTGTTATGGATACGAGTGGAAAATGCGATAGAAATTTTAATTAGTGTGCGATTGTTGGGGAAAGAGGGAACGATTGACGGGTTCTACATTTATGGCAACTAAATGTATACAAGTAAATAGTAAGGGTATTCAAAGCAATTGGCAATTGTCTCTTTGCACTTTCGACATGTTTCACTAACCGGAATCGTGCCACTCAAAGTATGCGAAACACCTGACAGGCAGATAGAAAAAATTGAGAGTATGAGTTTTGATTGTGGGGCAGAAGAATGGTCCTTGGCTTTCGTCGGATTAAGAGCGTATACATATTGATGTTCTTGTGTATTTTCAGCTGCTGGCGAAAATGGTTCAGGCCACGGGAACTGCGGGCCCGCACCGTCAACCTGGGGAGGGTGAACACAGAGAAGTTCCCGCCGAACGAGATCCGGAACCAGAAGTACAACTTCATCACCTTTCTGCCGCTGGTGTTGTTCGAGCAATTCCGCTTCTTCCTCAATCTGTATTTTCTGCTGATGGCCCTCTCGCAGTTCATTCCGGACATACGCATTGGATATCCCTACACCTACTGGGGACCGCTGGGCTTTGTGCTCATGGTGACCATATGTCGTGAGGCCGTCGACGACCTGAGGAGGCACCAGCGCGACCATGAGGTCAACTCCCAGAAGTACAAAAGGCTTTCGGCGACCAATCACAGTGGCTACGAGATGGTTCCCAGCTCCAAACTGAAGGTTGGAGATGTCATTATTGTGGAGAAAAACGAAAGAGTGCCGGCGGACCTTATCCTGCTGCGTACCAGCGATCGCAGTGGCTCTGTCTTCGTGCGCACCGACCAGCTCGATGGCGAGACGGACTGGAAGCCCCGCCTGGCTGTGCCCTACACCCAGAAGCTAAGCCGTGACTCCGAGCTGCACAGCATCGATGCCAGCTTCTATGTGGAGAAGCCACAGAACGATATACACAGCTTCATTGCCACCTTCTGCATGACGGACGGCAGCGAGGACACCGGCCTGAGCGTGGAAAACACTCTATGGGCCAATACGGTGGTGGCTGCCGGCACAGCGACTGGCATTGTTATCTACACTGGCTGCGAGACGCGCAGCGTGATGAACAATTCCCAGCCAAGGTCCAAGGTGGGTCTACTGGACATGGAGATCAATGGATTGACAAAGGTAAGTGACCAATTTCTGTTGACCTCGTTTAACGACTAGCCTGTATGCAGGTTACATTTTGGACGGCTAAAATGGTTTAATTGTTTTTTTTTTGTTTGTTTGTTTCTCTCTTTCTTTTAGGTTCTCTTCTGTGCTGTATTGGGACTGTCGCTGGTCATGATGATGCTAAAGGGATTCGGTGGACCTTGGTACAGATATATGTTCCGCTTTGTTCTGCTCTTCTCGTACATCATTCCGATCAGTTTGCGGGTGAATCTGGACATGGGAAAGGCCTTCTACTCGTGGCAAATGCAGAACGACTCCAACATCCAGGGAACTGTGGTGCGATCCACAACCATACCGGAGGAGCTGGGCCGAATCTCCTATGTGCTGACGGACAAGACGGGCACCCTCACCCAGAACGAGATGGTATTTAAGAAGATCCACCTGGGAATTGTCTCGCACGATGCCGACACCTTCCATCACATTGGCCATATCATACAGAAGCTTTCGGGTAACATACTACAGCAACAACAGCAGCAGCAGGGCAGCGTATCCAGCTCTAGCAGCGGGGAGTCCAACACCACCAAACCGATTATGTTTGCCGGCAACCGCATGCGGCGACCCGAAGGCTGGCGTGAGTGGGAGGCGGTGCGCGCCTTGGCCCTGTGTCACAATGTGACACCCGTGAGTGATGAGGAGGACAATCGGTCCGTGTCCACGGCATCCACGGTCACGGGCGGCAACAATTCTCCCACCAAATCTGTGATAAACATCGAGGCCCCAGGCAGCACAGACACGGAGCATCAGTACCAGGCAGCTTCCCCCGATGAGATCGCATTGGTCAAGTGGACAGAGCAGGTGGGATTGACTCTGATTGCCAGAGATCTGAATACCATGACGCTGCAGGTGAAGACCCCCAGCGAGGACAGTAAGTAGCAACAGTCGTATTGTATTCGTATCCAAACTAAATGCATTTTTCTAGACGATATCCTGCTACACTATCAGATCCTGCAGCTGTTCCCCTTTACCAGCGAAAGCAAACGCATGGGAATTATCGTGAGGGAGAGCAAGTCCGGACAAATAACGTTCTATTTGAAGGGCGCCGATGTGGTCATGTCCAGCATTGTGCAATACAATGACTGGCTCAGCGAAGAGTCGGGAAACATGGCCCGCGAGGGACTGCGCACATTGGTTGTGGCCAAGAAGGGGCTCACCGAGGAGCAGTACTCAGACTTTGAGATGCGGTACAATGCGGCCCGCCTAAGTATCACAGATCGAGTGGCCAAAGTGGCCGCCGTGACCGAATCTCTTGAGAGGGAACTGGAACTGCTCTGCCTCACTGGCGTGGAGGATCGCCTGCAGGAAAATGTGCGACCCACCTTGGAACTGCTCCGCAATGCGGGTGTTCGCGTCTGGATGCTGACGGGAGATAAGCTGGAGACCGCCTGCTGCATTGCAAAGTCCTCACAGCTAATTGGCCGGAACCAGGGTCTACACGTGCTGCGCTCCGTGAAGACACGCACGGATGCCCATCAGGAGTTGAATAGCTTCAGGCGCAAGCAGGGCCATGCCCTTGTCATTGAGGGCGAGTCACTTGAGGTTTGCCTGCAGTATTATCGACCAGAGTTCCTCGAACTGGCCACCGCCTCACCGGCTGTTGTCTGCTGCCGCTGCTCGCCCACCCAGAAGGCCCAGGTGGTGGCGCTCATACAGAAGCACACGGGCAAACGCACTTGTGCCGTGGGGGATGGTGGCAACGATGTGAGCATGATCCAGCAGGCGGACGCTGGCGTGGGCATCGAAGGTCGTGAAGGCAGACAGGCGTCCCTGGCTGGCGATTTTAGCATTCCGCAGTTCTCACACATTGCCAAGCTGCTGCTGATCCACGGCAGGCGGAGCTACAAGCGCTCGGCGGCTCTTTCCCAGTTCGTCATCCATCGTGGCCTGATCATCACCACACTGCAGGCCGTCTTCTCGGCAGTTTTCTACCTCAGTTCAGTTGCTCTGTATCAGGGCTTTCTTATGGTCGGCTATTCGACACTGTACACCATGTTCCCGGTGTTCTCGCTGGTGCTGGATCAGGACATCACCTCGGAGACGGCTGTCACCTATCCGGAGCTATATAAGGATCTATCAAAGGGTCGCAGTCTCAGCTATAAGACCTTCTTCATTTGGGTATTGATTAGCATATACCAAGGCGGCGTCATCATGTACGGAGCCCTGATACTCTTTGTGGACGAGTTTATTCACATTGTGGCCATCAGCTTCTCGGCTCTGATCATGACCGAGCTGATCATGGTGGCCCTCACCGTACGGACTTGGCACAGGTGAGCGCTTAAGAAGAATGCGAACAACGAACAATCCTAAACCTACTCATATATTTTTGCAGGCTAATGGTGCTAGCAGAGCTGTTCAGCTTGGCCCTGTATCTTATTTCGTTGGCCGTCTTGCACGAGTATTTCGGTGAGTTTGCGACACTTGACAGACAAGAGTCTGCGTCCATTACTAACTGTATCTGTTTTTTGTTCGCCCGCAGACTGGGAGTTCATCTGGTCGTACGACTTCTTCTTGAAGGTGTCGCTCATCACGGTAGTGTCCTGCTTGCCTCTGTACATAATCAAGTTCTTGCGTAAGAAATGTTCACCGCCTTCATACTTGAAGCTCTCTTAGATCTGATGGTTTCTATACACGAAATATTTTCCCCCGTCTAAGAACTTTCTTTCTGTGTTTGTATATTATGGTTTACTGATTAATTATTTGCACTTGCTGTGTTACAATTTATTACAATCTGTCGTCTCGTTTTGCCAAACCCAGACCCACGCCAATCCATTACCGAGCAGAAGCCCTAATCCACAACCCCTACCCCCATATGCGTGATATAATATTAAATTGACTCTCCTTGACACATTTTAACTTTTCTTGTTTATTGTTTTTGTTTTATTTGCAAATGCAAGAGAAAGAGTTCGGAATTCGACCATCGTACGATTATAAAAACAAAACAAAAAACTAAACTTAATTTATAGGCGTGTGAGGAGTAAAAGAAAAGTTTATTGATTTCAATATTATTTTGTATACCTGTGTGTATTTGATTAATATTTAAGTCGCAGTAAACCAAATTATGTTACTAATTATTTAATGTTAAAGTAATTTAAACTAAACTAAAACACTGAAATCAATTATGAGAATGTACGAAACAAAATGTAAAACGACAAATAGATTTTTGTATTAAGGATTAGAAATCGCATTGGATTGTGAAATAATGACATAAATAAATATAAAATATATACAAATTATGCAAAACCAAATCAAATATATGAAATAACCATTGCATGCTTATGGGGGGTTTAAAATGAAAAGGCGTGGCATACTTTTAGGCTGACATATTCCTTGCGTCCTTGAGGTCCTTAATAGGTGCAAATACTTCAGAAGACTCTTCCACTCATGAAGAGGCGCATCGCCTTTAAAACTGATGTCCAATGGAGGAGTTATATAAATGATATTCTTGATTCTTAATATCCTTGAAGCAAAACTGATTTCAAACCACCGTTAGTTATCCTGATTACGAAAAAGTGTGACAGGCCCAGATCGGTCACAGAATAGCCAAGATATAAGCAAAAGGCAAAAACCAGTATTTTTTAATGGTTTATAAATCCGCCAAATAGGAGCAGATTCTGAAGGGACCTATTTTGTCAGGATCGCCAGGATTCAGAAAAAGATGAAAAAGAACTTACTGGTTTCGAAAAGACATGCCACGCCCAGATAGGGGTCCTTGTTGCCGAGTTATAGCGTAATGAAAAAAACCCAGTATTTAAATATTTTTTTGTTGAACTTGTTTGAGTAACTTAAACAGTTAAAATGGAGCTGATTGAAAGTGATTGAACATCTAGAAATAGACTTAACTCCGCTGTTTCACGTGCGATCTGGACGTACCACAGTTCTCGTGAAGGTTTTCTTTTTATTTTGTCTTTTACATTCTTTATTTACCACCATTTGTTTGCCATTTTTGTTGGTTTAATACTAATTCACATTTCTTTGTTTTCAAATACATAATAATAGTTAATAATATTATATATGATGCATATATACATATACATATACATATACATGCATATACTTCACATACGTTCTCTAATGAATTTCGAGTTATACTTTTCTGCTTCGTTTTGTTGGTAATACATATTTTACCCTTAAAATGCCCACTTCTTTCCCCACGCAACATCAGCGCTAACATTTGCATGCGTTTTCTAACAATTGTATTGGGTTTTCTTTCGAATTTTGTTTTTGTTTTTGTTTTTTTTTTGTTAGCTTGTTGTTGTTTATTGAAATCTTGTTTCGTGTATAATTTGAATGTGTTTTCGTATTTAATTGGCTAACAAAATTTCGACTCATTTAATTGGAAGTGTTGAACCATTTGTTTTTACGATTTTGCTTAAATGCGCAGAAATACTCGTACTTTTGAAGTAAACAATTTGCTTGCTTGTTGTAGGTTTGTAGTTTTTTTTGCATTAGGTTTTACTTTAGTTTTAGTTACTTAATCGTACATTTCACTATTATATTGAAATTTAATTTATGCTCCCTCGCAATCAACACATGCAGCTTATTACAATTTTCATTTTGGTGTGCTCTTGTTAATAACATTTTGAATTAATGATTTGTTTGTATACGTATACTCGCATCAATGCCTGACATCTCCTCACATCTACGGCTACTGATGCCCGCCTCCTGTTCAGCAGTATGACATGGGAGGTACATACTTACTCCATTTGAGCAATTCATTCAACTTTTATTCGAGCGTAGATATAAAAGTTTCGTCCAACCATTTGGGTTTCTTAAAGCTTTTCCATATTCTCGTTTGTTTCCCCAAACAACTCGGGTACAGAGAGCTACGTACATGTCTATACTATGTATTCTATGTAGTATGCAGGGATGTACGAGTATGTACTGTATGTATGTATGTATACAGTTAGTATATATTGTAGATATATGCTGTCCATGTTCACTCACTTCTAGTTTACTAAAAATCTACAAAATATAATATTTTAATTTGTCTCTCTTTGCTAAATATATTCAGAATATACATATGCATGCACTATATGTAATATACATACATACATATGCATATACACGTATTGTATTCTTGTTTAACATTTATACATACATATTTCTTTACTTTGGTGTTTGGTGATTCTTGATGAGGTCAACTTTGATTTGTTTTACTTTGAAACGTTTGCTTTTCGTTTAATTTAGTTTAATTGTATTAACTGTTTAATTCATTTGTTTTCATTTAATAATGATCTTGTTTAATTATTGATATGTGCCTTACTGTTTTAAGTTGCGGTTAATATAAACTCTGGCTTTATATTCTCTTCTTTATATATTTATATTATTTAGTTATTTTGTTGTTGTCAGATTTTGTTCTTTTTTTTTTTAATAATATTCAGTCTATATAAACATACATTTATACATTTACGCTAAATGTTGGAAAACAAATTGGGAGAAACGAGGGAACAATTTAACGACACAAATACGAAGCACATTTCCAGTTCTGCTAAAAACCTCAACCAAAACTGGTTAAATTTCTCTAAAAAAAAAACTGGGGGAAAAATAACATCAACCTAATGCTGAACATCAAATAAGAAAAACTTCCTGGAGATCTGATCTGTGTGTGTGTCTTCTGTATGGGAGGTCTCTAGAATATGAGCGTTCTGTTTATGTAAATCTATCAAAAATTAATTGTATTACTTCACTAGGCTTTACATTTTTATATTATTTTGTGTGTGTGTGTGTGTGTGTTTTTTATTTATAATTTTAAGTGTGTATGTATGTATGTACGAGTATGTATACATACATAGCTAGGGGTTGCACTTCGACTTCTGTATATTAGTTAAATATGCTTTGTATTTGCATTTGTATTTGGTTTTGCTTTTGCTTGTTAACACATTCCTCTTGACGAGTTTTATTCATTGCATTTGATTTTGGTTTTGGTTTTGGTTTTGGTTTTTGTTTTGCTTTTGGTTTTCGTTTCATTGTTGTTGCATTTCGGTTTAAGTTTACTACACTTTTATACGAGATTTGATTTCATGGTTCAACATTGCTTCCCACCCGTCATTGCATTGGTGTTTGCCTATGTATGCATTTGAATATAGATAGAATTCGCTCAACATATATGAAAAACAACTATTTACATACACATAAATATACATACACATATGTACATACGAGTATGGGTACTACCATTTCGATTTAGATTTCCATTTTCATTTCCATTCGGTTGTAACTCGAATCACTTGCTAAGTGCTTGCAATTTCTGTCTTAGGATACTAAGGATAATGCTGTAGCAGTGCTGTCCGTATGCTTGAGTCACAAGAAAAAGAAACCAACAAAACGGAAAACGGAATACGGAAAACATTTTGAGCCCCTCGTTAGGTACAGGAATTTCGTTAATTTGTTTGGTTGTTTGTTCTGAGCAAAAAGTATAGATCTTAGTTAATTACTTTCAACATTATATGCTAAAATACTTCATTTAGATACATTTATGTACTTTGTTAATAATATTCTTCGGTCGTGCTTTATATTGTAGAGTTATTTGTTGCAGCGTAGTGCTTGCTTGGAAAATATCCATTGAAATTATGTATTTTTATGTAATCAATTTACTAAACACTAAGCAACTCAATGCCAAGCATACATACATAATGCATATCTTAAAGTTAAACTTTACTCTTCCTCTAAATACAAATATCTCCAATATCTAGTGCAATTTGCGCCACTAAAACTGCCAATTAAATTTGCCAAGTCCATGCACAGTGCACACTGCACACCCCAAGAGCAGATAGAATGTCAGATTCTAATTCTTGTAAGCTATATTTATGTATGTATTGTATTTTTTGTTGTCAGACTCTGTGCGTCTTGGGGCCGCGTGCATGAGCATGTGCATGTGCCTGCTCTACACCTGCACCGATATATAAAATTTAGGCGGATAAATGGGTAATAAACTATGTAAGAAAAAATACTTAAGCAACATAATTATAGGCAGTATGTGTTTGACATGTTTGCTGTTGTTTGGTTGTTCTGGCTGTTATTCATAGGGAGTATGGGCCAAACGTATTGCAACTATTTTTGTGGAACGACAATCTTGAACACAATTGATGCATTTTAAGGTATAAATATATAACTGAGCTTTAACTTAAGGTGCTATTGTGAGTTGTAACATATCCATGTTCAACTTAGTCCATTAAAAGTGTTTAAATTTGTTTGGAAATTGCATGCAGCATCCAGGAGCAACTACAATACGGATAGATAGCCCCCCCAGCTCGAGGGGGATATCGCTGCCCCTTGGCATGTGCATGCAACACTAAAGGAATGTCCCTAATATTCTAAATTTATTCCATGTTACGGTCGACAAGCGCTGCTCCTACACCACTGCTTCTCCTGCAAGTCTACACACATTTAAAAAACTGGCAAAGCTTTTACAAAATTACGAAACTACTTTTACAAACTACAATGCCGTACAATACCAAGCGCAATACTGTTTCGATCCGATCCGATCTGATCTGGCAGATACATAGTTGGGAATTGGTAATTGGGAATTGGTTATTCAAAGCAACTCTAAAGCTAACCACTGTGCCCGGTGCCATCGGCGAGGTGGCGCTGCTCCTCGCTGATGGCATTGCGTGTCGCCTCGCACTGGGCACAGTGCTTCTCCAAAAACTTGATGGACAAGTGGAACGTATACCGGTGCCGGGTGCATCGCCTTTACATCTTATACTCGACGATCTTGTTGGGGTTGAGGAACTGCTCCCGCTGCGACGCATCCAAGTGGGCTACGGTGCGCGTCAATGCCGAGCCCGAGCCCGACCCAGAGGCCGACTTGTGTTTCCCGGAGACATCGCTCACGGCACCACCTCCACCTCCACCACCACCACCACCACCACCACCACCACCACCACCACCACCACCACCACCACTGGTGCGACCGGTGTCTGTTCCAATCGGCTGGTAGACTCCCTCCGCACTGATCACCCCCACATTGACGCCAGCGACCACGGGCTGCTGCAGGTAGCCGGAATACTGTGGCGGAGCCTGGTAGTTGGCTGGCGGCTGCTGCTGCTGATGCTGCTGTTGAATGCCGGCCCGCGGCTGCTCCGTGTGCGCAATGGGATATTGCTGCTGGTGGGCATAATCCTGGCTGCTGCCTCCGGAGCCAACACACACAGAAGTAGCGGCAGCCACCGAACCACTGACCCCGCCTCCAGTGCCGCCCACATTGCCACCCATGCCCCCTCCGCCCATGCGAGAGCCTGAGTCATCGTTTAGACCCTCGCCCATCTCACCGTCCCGATTGTGCCGGCCCCGAATGCAGAGCTTGGTGAACAGCCAGACCCGGCCTCGGTACAGTAGGTAGCAGCAGAAGTGGACAAAGAAGGTGAAGATTATGGCACAGGCCGTAACAATAATGGCCTTGCCCGGCTTGGTCCAGTCCATCATGGGATAGATGGCAGTTTGATTTTTCCTAAGCGAATGCATCACAAGTCAATAAATAACAGTCGCAATGCCGATGTGCCAATAGTGCCGACCACTCACCTGTCTGTGCCGCCGGCCAAGAAGTAGATGCCCGTGAAGATGGCATATGCCAGTCCGATGCCCGTGGTGAAGTAGGCGTGGCTCATTTTAATCGGATGCCCCACAATGGCCAGATCGATGAGCATTATAATCGAGTTCAGCACATGCACCATAATATTCAACGTATCAATTTTGTGAATTTCTGAAAGTGAAATGCAAATATTAGGAATTGAAATTAGACAATGATTCTTGGAGTGGTGATTCTTAATGACAATACTCTTAAATCCATTTATAATCCTTAATCGAGTACACTTTGGCATGTTCAAACAGAGAGTGTACGAATGTGCATCTTTATTTAGTCTTGGAATTACTTTCCGGATTGAAAAGGTGAGTGAGGGGCTCACATTTCACTACGTCCCACACGAACCAAGAGTTGTATGGTCCGCGAGCTAAACAAATTTTCAAAGGCATAGTCGACTTCCTCGACAGCATCCAGGAACGCATAACAGGCGAGGAAGTCGATGAGTAGAAGGACCGCGCAGAGAGGTATATCCAGATAGGGGGACTCGCTGCTCCAATATCCGTTGATCACATGCGACTGGAAGAGGAGCATCGGGCAGGCGACTGTCCACAGAACACAGTGAGATATCCACACATCCGCTGTTTCGGTATACTCTGGGCTGTGATCCGAGATGATCTTGCACAGCACATACATAACGATCGCTAAACAGAACGAAGTGAGGGCAATGTAGATCAGGGGGTGACACTTTGCTGGCAGCCAGTAGCCGAGCAGCAGCAGCAGGCCCATCATCACGATTACTTCCAGGGCCAGCAGCACCACATGGCCGGCCGTTTGCTCGGGCAGCATTGAGGCAGTGCCCAAGCCGAAAAGAACAGCCATGCAGCAGCTCAGTATCCAGTTGACCGGAAACTTGCGACGCAGAAACATCACATTCACATAGACAAACAGGCATATTAGGCCAAGGCTGAAGCAGGAGTAGGCTGCCGGACAGCAGCGCTCTCCGGGCTCGCTGTTGATAAAGCCAAAGGAGATGATCAACAGGATGCTGATGAATATAAACACTAGGGCCGTTCCATAGATCCACAGATACAGCCGAAGTTTAGAGTGGACGCCGCCCCCCCTTTCGCCATTTTGTGGATCACTCATCGATGTGATCCTTTTTGGTGTTTGTTTGCTTTTTCGGGTCTGTCGTTCGGCTCTGTCAACTGTCAGTGTGTTGCTTGGGGTACCTGGGGGGTACGGGTACTGACACTGACAGGCAGTATGTCAAGTAACAAAAATAAATCCGTCTCCAGCTCGTTTCCCCAACGGGTGTCCACAGCGCAGCAAACGGATTTAACCTCAAGACCGGACGAGTACGACGATGATTCAGTGTATGAACCACATAGTCCCAGCCCGCACGACGACAGCCTGTATGATGACGATCCATACAACAACGAGCCCTTCCGCAGCCCGGAAGAGCAGCAAGCATATGACGAGATTAACTACCCGGAAGAAATTAGAGAACGAAGTGTTAATCCCTACAGGGACACCCTTTACGAGATTCCAACGGAGACTGTGTACGTCGACAAGGGTCCAGATCAACCCAAAACAATACTAACAGGTGCCAGGGGACCCTCTCGCCTGACCTTTCGCTGCTACGTGTATATGCTCATCATCGCCCAAGTGGGTCTGGCCTCGTTACAATGGATGTTCGCCACGTACGCCTGGAAGCCCAAGCTACACCCTATCGAACGGAACATGAATTTGCTGCTCCTGTTTCTGGCGTGGCTCAACCTGACCCTGGGCTTTTTTGGCTTCCGGCGGCTGCAGTTCACGTTCCCCCTTAACTGGATTATCTTTGTCTGCATCTTCGAAAGCCTCACCCTGGCGGTCATGTGCCTCAGCGCCAGCGAGCTAACGCTCACATGGCCCTACCTTGTGGCCGCCATTGCTGTGCTGTTTATCTACTCCCTCCTGGGTCTCTGGGTGCCGAGAATGCTAACCGCCGACCTCTGGATTCTAATATTTGTGAGCATCACGGTGCTGATTGCCTCCATCATTACGATCGCCGCGGCTCTTGCCATGCACCACTATGTGCCCCTGAACTTGTGCTTGATCATCTTCGGACCTTGGGCCATGTACAACTCTCAAAAAGTGCACGTAAAAAAGCGATCCGGCTTTACAACACACCAGTACCTGGATGCAGCCGCCAAGGTGTACATTAATTTTGCCATGACAGTCGGATGTATTGCCTTCATGAGCCACATGTCCATCTACTATTTGGATGGCGACGAATGCCGCAACAAATGGTTCTGTCCAAAGCGACCGATGATGCCCTAAGACTGCTGTATTTCTAATTCTAATTTATTATAAATATAAATATAAATAACAATTGATAGTTTAAATATTCTAAAAATATGTCCATTCCAATGTACTTTCTCCCCTTTCTTCCTTGCCCACCACCGCACGGTCAACTTACTCACCTGAGTTGTGTACGAGTAGCCAATAGCACATGGTGACAATGAAGGCATAAACAGTGGCACAGGTGTAGAGCACCCAGTAGAGATGATGCAGACGACTCTTTTTGGCTTGGCGCACGATCTCAAAGTCCTCGCGCTCCACCATCATGCCCTGGGTTACGATCCAGGCGGCCAGCCAGGCCTGCACCGTGCAGAACAGTAGGCCCCAGTGAGTCAGATAGATCCACCACTTGGCATAGTGATGCTCAAAGTGCTCCTCGGTGCGCCCAATGTCCAGCAGGGAGCAGACCAGTGCTGCCAAGCACGTGATGGCTGTTATCCAGCGATAGAACAGGTACACAATCCGCACTTGCGTATTTCGCTGCCACTACAAGGGAGAGACACAAAGCTTTAGTTGTGGCATAATTTCGATGTGGTGCGACACTCACCTGGCACAGATAAAAGTTGTGCCGATGGACATGGTCCGGCGTGAACTCCGGGAAGCAACTGTTCCACAATTTGCTAACCATCATTCTCTGGTTGCCGAGGCAGCTGGTGGCGTCGTTGGCAAAGTGGTTGAAGCCCTCGCAGCTGTCCTGCGATGGATACTGATACGAGTGGTACGCCTGCTGCTGCTGGCCCTGCGATTGCTGCGGTGTCTGCTGGAACTGCTGCTGCTGCTGCTGTTGTTGTTGCTGCTGCTGCTGCTGATGGTGATGGTGGTGATGGAATTGATGTTGCTGTTGGTGCTGTTGCTGCTGATGCTGTTGTTGCTGGTATTGGTATTGGTGATAGCGTTGCTCAACCGTTTCGCGTTGCGACTGACCGACGCCACCACCACTGATGCCTGTACCGCCTTCCGTGCCGCCAGTGCCTCCTCCTCCGCCTGTGGTAGAAACTCCTCCTCCTCCTCCGGCTGCGGCTGAGCCGTGCTCCGTCTGGTATTCGTGTTGCGGCGGCGTCTTGTGGCTGTGTATGCTGGCTCTGCTGCTGCCGCCTGCGCCGCCGCCGCCGTAAGGATGCAAAAAATCGGGCAGGTCAAGAATGTGCGCCAACTGTGTGGCAACCTCCTCGTCTTCCTCGTCGTCGTCCTCCTCCGCCTGGTGCTGTAGAAAGCGCACTTCCTCGAGACTGTCACAGTCCGTGGAGAGTAGGGCCGCGGGCAGGCACTCCTCGAGCAGATCCTCCTCGTCTTCGGTTGTGCTGGCAAAGCCCGGCAGATAGCCGTAGTTGTCGTAGGCGTCGTAGCGCCTTCGGGGCGTGGCTTTGTAGCGATAGCCAGCTTGCAGCTCCTCCGCCGCACTAGCCGTGTACTCCTGGAACGGCGATAGTCTGGCTGTCGATGATGCTGTTGCTGCTCCTGCTGCTGCTGCTGCTCCTATGCTGGCTCCTATGCTGGCTCCTAAGCTGGCTCCTGTGGTGGCGCCTAGGGCCGTTGCCGCTGTGGCTTGAGGTGGAAGCGTGCGAGTGCTTCGGCTGCTGAAGTAGTAGTCGGTGGCTACGCTCGGCGCCGGTGGCGGCGGTGGTAGGGCTGCCGGCACAGGGAGTGGCGGCAGATAGCCCGGCGATGTTCCAGCTGATGCTAGCAGTGGAGTGGGCGAGGCATCAAAGTTGATCAGTGCCGCTGCCGGATAGCCGCCGCCGGTATAGGCTCCCAATCCCCGATACGGATATGGATACGGGGTTGTACCTGCGCCGCCGCTGCTGGTTGTCCCAATGTAAATGTGCGCCGACGTAGAGGGCAGATGGTACCTAAAAATAGAGTCAAATAAGAAAAATTTACGGGCATATCGATCTGGTTACATACCAGCTGGCTAGGTTGCCGCTGCCCAGACCGAAGCCCAGGCCCAGTCCCAGACCCAGGCCGGAGCTGGTGCTGGTGCTTCCCCGACTGAAATAGTAGCTGTACTGCTGCTGTTGCTGTTGTTGTTGCTGTTGCTGCTGTTGTAGCTGGTGCTGCTGGAGCAGATGATGTTGCTGCTGCTGCTGCTGCTGTAGGGTCTGTTGCAATTGCGGCAAAGATTGCTGCGGTGCGGCGTAGTCGTAGTGGCTGCCGGAGAGCCAACGCTGCCGCACGGGCGAATAGCTACTCTGGGCCTGTTGTCGCTGGCTGTATAGAAGCTGCTGGTGCTGCTGCAACTCCCGTTCGATCTGTTGCAGCAGCAGTTGTTGCTGCAGCTGCTGGATTTGCAGTTGATGCTGCTGCTGGGCTAGCAATTGCTGCTGCACTATCTGCTGGTGTTGCTGCTGCGCTTGTTGCTGCTGTTGGCCACTAATTGGCACCGGTCTAAGGTAAAACTGCGCGTAATCCAATGTGAAGGCGTTCCTCTACAACTTCGCCGCACGTCCACCGCAGCACACACACTCAAACTCACTCCTGCCAGTTAATACTCTCTTCGGCTTGTTTTTTCTCCTGCTCCTGCTCCTGCTTATGCTCCTTCTTCTGTTTCTGCTTCTGCTTCTGCTCCTGTGGCTGTTGCACGTTGCAAGTGGTCTCGGTGGCTGTGACTGTGACTGTAAGTAGACGGTAAGCAAAGGATAACGATAAGCATTGAGTTGAGTATACAACCTTTCACGTCTGACTTCATAAGACACTAATTAGGCAGGCATCAAGCGTATGCATACGCATCCACATACGCCATGTGGCCCAAGATGGCGCGAAATGAAAAAATCCCTTGACTTAGAAAGCACTTTGCTTTGCTGTGACACTAATTTACAGTGGCAAAGACGCCCTCAGCTCTGAAAGAGAATTGAAAGGAGCCGAGATAGACAGTGCGAAACCAGCAAAGTTGTAGTTGAAATGAAAGTAGTTTGGTTACTAGAAAGCACAAAAAAACGAGCAACAAAGTTGTGAGACGCTTCGCACGCGGAACAACTTTTATACCCGATACTCAGTCAGTAAACATGTATGTACATTTATATGTATGTATGCATGTATGTAACCTTAGTGATTTTAAGTAATTTTACATTTATTCTATTCATATAATGTACATGTATATGCTGATAAAGAATATATATACTTATAAACGCGGAAACGTTTCCTTACCCTACTTACTCTTGGAGTACCCGGTTTAAAAAGAAGCTATACCCAACTAAGAAAAGTCTCTTTACATCGAGGCTTAAACATCTATTCCATTCTCAGTCTGTCCTAGATCTTGCTAAGCATTCTTGTTTCCTCTAGACATAATTTGGAGAATAATCTACGGTTCATTTAAATTACTGTTTCCGATTGTATCTCTTCAGCTGACTGTTTAAATCTCAATCAATTTCTTTGGCACTCCTAAAGGCACTTTGAATAATAATTATTATTATTATGATTTGAGTTACATTTGCAAAAAACAGAATATCACAAATGCAATATTAAAATCCACAAAAACTTACTAATTGCCAAAAAGTGATCTAATTCAAATCATTAATGTGAGTTGATGTGCTTATGCACACTTTTTACACAAATATTTGGTTTTCACAGAGCCTGTTCATTGAAAGTTCTCCACAGAAAATATCTACTGATAATCGTCGAGCAACTTTCTAAAATAGATTAGGGGATTGCAATAGTAAGTAGACGGGAAATCTGTATGTAATGTATGCCATGGCCAAGTGTAGCCTAAATTGCAACTGTTGCTTGGTTCGTGAGCTGCGCCTAATGGCCTTTGCCAGAGTCTGAAGAGCAATGAAATCAAATCAAATCGCGCGTGCCTCAGCGAAACGCAAAATGGCGGCCAGGAAGGCCCTTTGCGGCCATTTTGGTTGCGTTGCTTCCTCGTTTGTGAATTGAGTTGCCGCCAGTTGAGTTGTCTGCATGAGAGTACAGGGCGTGGGTCGGATTGGGAGTGGGAGAATGGGAGAGTGAGTGTGCGGCGTGGTAAATGGGGCAGCTAAATGCATTCGGGTGGTATCTGTGTCTGTGTCTGTGGGTGGGCGCCTTTTGACGTCATCAGCAAATACTCTGTCTGCTCTTGTTGCTGCTGTTATTGCCGTTGTTTACACAGCTGCTCTGAGGGTCGCATTTAGTTGTTGCAGCGACTGGTTGTTGCAACATTTACATTGGCAATTTGCTTGAAAAAGCACTTACACCAGCAGCAGCCTCCTTGTGGGTGCACACACACACACAAACACACACACAGAGGAACACAACCAACACTCATACAGACACACTGACGCTTACGTGCACACTTCCGGCCACAAGTCTGTGCTTGGGCCTAACCCGAACTTCCGACATTGCCACCATGTAACGAGTACACTTGATTCCATTGGGTCCACGTCCACGTCCACCTCCATGTTCATGTCCACCACCATTCCACCTCCACTCCAGTGACAGTGGAAATGTATCGATTTCGCACTAGTTTGTTAAATATGCAAATGCCCCCCAGAGCTCTTTGCCATTTATCTTCCTGCTAAGAGCCTGACAGAATTAGACAACTTTCCAGGCTGATATACTCGCACAATGGAAATGTTTGTATTTATTATTGTAAAAGATTTTCCATTTGAGGGCATTCAAGATTCGTTTAATTGACACTGTGATTGTTTTCGCACTTTTTTTTGTTGCCTGCAAACTTGATTCAACTTTGTGTTTTCTTTTTCTTTGCTTGGTGTTCTGTTCCCTCTTTTTTTGGTACTCACTTTGTGTTTAAAAACTTCGTTTAACTTGTGTGCAAACTTTTTGCTTCAATCATTTTTACTTTCTTCTGTTTGACGCCAGCCAGAGAAAGAGACGGCAAATATATACATATATATACATATATGTACATTCACACAGCGAAAGCGAGAGAGGAAGAGCGATAGATAGATGCAGACTGAAAGTGGGTGAAAAGTTGTTGGTTTAACATTCTGTTAAAGTCTGCAACCCTGGGTGTTTATTTATGGCCCTCTGGCCAAAAATTTGACAATAGTTTGTTCGCAGTGGCAATTAGAAGCACGTTGCCACGCCGTTGCAGGTCATAAAACCCGCAATGAGTTACGTTATGTACGGCTACAACGTTGCAATTGAAATGAAAATTGAAATTTAATGGCTCTGAGCAGAAATCGCGCTGTGCTGAATCCTGGGCATAGAATGGCAAGGGAATGGCTCAATAGTCGAGCAATTGTGTGCATAAAATGCGTCATAAGTTCATTCAAGTGGCCGAGACAGGGACAGCACGTCGTATGAGCGATATTTAATGAAGCCGAAGGACGAGTGTGACGAAATGTTTCGTAGCCGTAATCCCAGCGACAACATTAATGCTAATTTAATTACAAAAGCGTGTCTATGCCTGCCTCTCAGGCATTGTCTTTGCTCTTCCGCTTCCGCTTCCACCCTCACCCTCCTCCGCCCGGATGTGGCTGGCCTGGTACTTTCTTTAAAGTTGCAAACGTACTCCTTCAAGGAATGCCCTCTCTTCTGGGCGAGTAAACGACTTATTTGAAAGAGATTTTCTTTGTTCAAATACTTAACAAATATTCTGAAATGAACTCGGTAATTATTTGACTGAAATTCGCATTTGTTGGCTCATTCTGACAAATTTCTTGTGGAGCTCATAGAGCGGAGCGCCTTGGAAGATGGAGAATAAAGTTGCATGATTTTGCCCCAGGGCACACCCCACTAGACTGCTATCTGCCTCCACCCCAAGGAAATGAAAAGAAATTTTGTTCGTTTTAATTAAATTGCATTCTCCTCTCGCTGTGGCACTCTCTTTGGGCTGCTAGAGGGAAAAACTTTAAGCGAACCTCCCACCTCTGCCATGACTACCAGCAAAAGGCGGCAACACCAGCCTCATCAGCCCCCTCTCCACTGCAGACTTACACTTGGCTGACTCGGAATTTCTGTTAATCAAAAGCAGCGTTCAGCGTTCAGCATGAGAAAATACTTAATTGTATTATTACATAACTTTCGCAGCGATGACTGGGGAGAGACAACAGCAGCGGAGGGACAAAGTGGCGGCAGTGGCCAGTGTTTTGGTCATAATTCATTTACCACTCGATACAAAAGTCGTTGGCCATTAATTCACGCGTTTGCCGCGTTGCCACGATGTGGTCTCAAAGGATAATTAATGCGTCACCAGGGCCAGGGCAGGCCTGCAAGTGGCATGCCGAACCTATAAGCCATGTGGTTATGTTGCAACAGTGGATGTGCCATTACCTAAATATATGTTTATATCACTTAAAAAAACCCCAAGTTCCCAATTGTAAATCATGCCATGGCTTTCGTATAACATTTTCAGTATGCTTATCGGGGCACTAAACTTTCTCTAGAGTGTCCTCCACACACACACACACGCAATTCCAAGAGTCCGCTGATGCACACATCTATAGGTTTATATATATTTAGAACAAGCGCAGCTTGTGCCTTTGTATTGAAAACAAAATCCTTGTTCAGCTAATGTACAGTTTTTTTTTTTTTTTTAAGTTAGTGGTACCCATTCGGGCGCAGGGAGGGATGTTGGCTGTGGGTTGGCTGTGGCATCAGACACATTGACGTGTTTGCTTATGTAAACAGGAAGTGGTGCGCTGCAGGCTACACAGAAACAACCAGCCCATTGACAGTGTGAGTGCGAGTGGGGAAGAGTGTCGGCCATGTTTGCTGGCTGTGACTGCCTCCTGCCACTAGCTCCCACTGTCTGCCACTCTGGTGTATTGCTCGCTTATGCCACAGCAAAAATATTTGCCCACATGAAATTATAGTAAAGCGAACATTTAATGAATGGCCACCACCTGGTGGTCTCTGTATGTGTGTGTGTGTGTGTTTTTAATGAGCAACAGCAGCAAGGACTGCTGTGCTGCCGTGCTGCAGTCCTGCATCATGAATGGTTATTGGCAGGCGGATGTTCGCAGGTCGGATGTTTGGGATAGTGCACACTGCAAATATAATTCCATAAATATGGAGCAAAAGCTGTCTTGCTCTGATGAGACAGTATGGGTTTACCACAAAGCTAGATGTGGTTTGTATACTCGTATAATAGACAGTTTCACTTGAACTTTGTAACGACAAGAAGTAGTATAAATAAATTGTTAAAGGGATGACAGAATGTTTATTGAGCCTAAACTAACACAAACTTAAACAAAGATCGTAGCTACCTACGCGTAGGTGTGTCGGCAAAGACCTTGCACATTCGTTCTCAAGCGAATATTAAATATAAAACAATTTTTCCACACAAAAAACTTCTGAGCAGAGTCAGCAAATCGTAAGTAAATTTACTTATAATGGGGAATGCCAAGATTTTGTTCAAGTTTTGTTCGTGGAGCGGTGAAATTTACGAGCCTTCCCGCATTCGAATCTCTGGCATTTCACTTAATATTTGTTTATGGCGCAAATAGTTTGGACAGAGACCGAAAAAATAGAGCACGACTGCCATAAATCAAACTAAAATATATAAAAAAAATAGAAATATACAAACGGACAAACTCTGGCCAACACAAATATTGCCCGAGCAACAGCCAGAGCAGGAGCACAAAGAGAGCCTTGATAAACTGCTCTAAGAGGGGAAAAACTGTGGATGCCACTTCGACTGTGCGACAAGGGGGCAGCGAAAAAGGGAAATATGTATAGGTATACGTATTTCCGACGACGACATTCAGGTGCAAGGCAATAAGCGTCAAGGAAGTTGTCAAAACATTCAGATAACATTTTCTGGGCAGGGCCTCAGAAATGACATTCGATAGCCAAGTCAAATGTGGGGTCCGTTTTACATACATACATACATACATACATATGTATGTATGTCCCTGTTCTGGCTCTATTTTTCGGTCCACCCTTAAACCTTAAAGCCATTAATTTGCAGAGAAAAACGTCGCTTGTTGGCAGCTCCGTCGTTGTGCCATTTTATTTTTTGCTTAACTGCGCAAACATTGATAATAAATTTTGCCTTGGCGTTCATTTAACATCACTTCTTTTTTTACCCTGAGCTGCCATCTACATTTTTTCAAGGATTTCCCAGAAAAGCCTTCGAAAGAAATTAATATAACCGACGCGAAATTTACGAGTTGCCCGGCTAAAGGTTCCAGCATTCTTTTTAGCCAATAGTTTCATACATCTATTTACCAAGCTTACACAAATCCCAGCATTAAACGACAATCCATTTAAATATTTATGTACATATATTACTACATACAGCTTTAAGCGAAAATTTGTCATACATATGTGAAGATTTGCATGTGTTGATTGGTTCCACATAAAAGCATTTCATTTATGTCAAATGAGATTTATTTATATTATCCATTTTGAGCGGATGTTAATCATAATTATTTAAGTTAAATTATAAAAACATACGCGTAAGATGCGTACTTTAAAGTAGCTGTAGTAATGTTACTTTAAAACATGTTTTTACGGTTCCTTTTAAAGCATTTTCCACGAGCATTTTAGGGTGTGCATTGCAAAATTTCCAGAATTGGGCTGCATTTCTCTACATCGGAAAAAGAGCCCACAGAACTTTCTAGCTAGTATTAATTGTTTACACAAAATGTTTTCCAAATAAAAATGAAGTACGAGTCAAGAAAGCTTTAAACCATACACAAATTGCTGCCCCTAAAAGACTATACGCTGAATTTTCATAAGTGGCTGTCTGTGATCATGGAGAAAGAAAAATATAAAATACTAATCATCGCTCTTATGATATGAGTGATGAAAGCAAAGAATCACAATAGTATAGAAATACTCAGATTAAATGAAATGTAGAATGAATTGAGTTTCAAAGAGAATCAATGAAAATTCCGATACCAACAATAATGTATAGCTTTGATACTTTTAATTCATGTACATAAGCAAATGGTTGTACACAATATTCATTCTTGGATAAATTGAAAATCGACGCCCCCTTCCTTTGGCACCTTTGGCTTGGGGGCGGAGGGTTGTTGGATTAGCTGCACCCACGACATGCAGAAGTCCGACAAAGAGGGCAGCAGAATGATGGGGAAAACATAGAAATTGAAAGCGAATTGAAACCCAGACAGCAAAGCCCCTTTGGCACCCGAGATGGCTCACAACAATGCTGTCAGCTTCCCTGCTTTCCCCTCCCGCGACCCACTGTGTTGAGGAGATGCGATGCGGCACCCGCACCGGCCTGCCTGTTAAGACGGGACGGGCCCTCGCCTGGCCTCTCGCTGATCATCCCGAGACGCCAGGGAGGGGATGGCCAGAGGCGCACGTGTTGGCTTAATTAAATGTTTTGCTTTTAGTTCTCGCTTTTGTTTCACGAATGCGATTGTGTGTGTGTATTTCTGTGTTGAATATGTTCGTATGTGTGCCTG